AACTCAATAACAACCAAAAAAAACACAAATGATCCAATCAAAAGATGGGCAGAGGACCTGAAGAGACACTTTTCCATAGAGGCCATATAAATGGCCAACAAATATATGAAAAGATGCTCAACATCGCTAGCTATTAGGGAAATGCGAATCAAAACCACAATGAGATACAATCTCACACCTGTTAGGATAGCTATACAGGACAGGACAAGTAATAATAAATGTTGGAGAGGATGTGGAGAAAAAGGAACCCTCATACACTGCTGGTGGGCCTGCAAATTGGTAGAGCCACTAAACAATATGGACAGAAAAGGTTGGAAATCACATATCACATATGTGAGACATAAACCTAAAAGCGACAAAAGAATAGGACAAACAAACAATGGACTAGTGGTTACCAGAAGGGAGGGGGGAGGAGGAAAATAAAAAAATAAAATGTTAAAAAAATATGTATATGTAGTATGAAAAAAATAAACTGGCATTTAAAAAAATAAAATATTGCATCTCCACTGTCGGTTCTAAAAATGATCAAAGAGGACTGCTGCTTAATCATTAGAATTGTATCTGTGGTTTGTCTCTGCCCTCTCCTAGAATCACCCTCCAAAAACACAGTTAAATAACTTAAAAGAACAGACGTGATCACAGAACAGGAAATGTCAATGTGTTTGGGGGAGATGAAAAGCAAATGCAAGGATGGGACCCACCTTAGCAGGGAGAAAGCTGATTTCTAAATGCCAGCAGAGGATACCAACATGAATGCCATGGAGTCCAGCCCTACAACCTAAAAGGCTCAGGAACTGGAGTTATGTAGTTTGGAAGGTAGGGGTGGAGGATAGAACTAAAATATTTTGTGGCACGAGCATCCCCCAGGATCTCTGCATCCAGCCAGCAGACAAGAAAAAAAGAGGATGCAGAAAATATCACGGGCAGCATGTCCAGGCACTTCCTGCAGATGGTAGGCAGTGTAGAGGAGACCTGGGGGCCAGAATCGACTCTGGTGGGACAGTCCAAGCTCAGAAGTTCAGGTCGATGCCATAGGAAGAGCTCAAAAATGACTATTTTGAATTCTCTCATGATTCCACTGCTTTGTAGGTCAGATCTTCTCTGATCCTGTTTCCCTACCTGAATAATGAGGAAAAAATATCTGACAGCCCCTCGGGGTTACCAAGAGGACAGTTTAGTCACAGCATAGGAAAGCACTTTGGTACAATGTAGGTTACAAATTACAACACCTTAGGCCTTGGGAGCCAGGTATCTGATTATAGAATCACTTGATTCCACTTTCTCAGAGGTTTAGTAACACACTGGTGGTCACTGTGTAGGAAAACTAAACCTTGGTAGATTATTAAAGGGAAATGTGTTCTCATGGGCAGAAAGGGATGGCAGCCAGACCAAAGACAAAGAGGCCATTCTCCCATGGCCACCATTGGTCACTGAAGGCGAAAGCCGAGATAGATGTGGAGCAGAGCCATTTGAAGCTCATTCCACTGAGTGATTAGGTAACCAGATTCCTGGCACCATGCCCCAGGTGGTTACACTTCATTCATCTCTTGTGGCATTAATATCACAGCTTTGGAGGCCAGAGGAATGGGTGAGAAGTGAGAGAGGGCCTCCTTGACAACCCTTGGCTGGCAGAGACACCAAGTCCAGTTGGAAAATCAAACCCAGCCAGGAGGCCCAACCGCCCATCAATCTGGGGTATGACTGGCCAATAACCCTGAGCCTTGAGCAGAGGAGCTGCAAGATGACAAGATGCTACCCCCATCCCCGGTCAATAACCTGGGCCTTTCCCACACGTGTTCACACAGGGCTGATGGGCCTGCCCTGCCATCAACATCCAGAACAATCGTATTCCCTATATCCTCTTCCAGCTCAGCTCAGTGGAAACACACCCGCCCGGGAAACTTTTCAGAGGTTATCAGGAGTGACCCAGAGAGAGGAGCAGAGTGTAGTAAGCGCCTTTGCGGCCGGGTGGCTAGGCTCCTCCCCTGGGGCCACCTGGTAGGGGAAGCAGTGCCAGCTCTTACTGGGAGAATTTGAGCCACTTTGCCAGTTCAGGGGGAGCAGGAGAGAGGTGGGGCCAGACAAGAAAAGGAGAGCCCCTGTGTCTCTTGGAATCCAGTATGCCATAGTGCTGAGGGGCCTCAGAGGGGCCTGGAAAGGTTTTGGGCCTCAACCTCCAAAGAGACAAGGGGCTTTGTCCTCGAGGGGTCTTCAGGGAAGAGTAGGTGGCTATGGTTAAATGCCTAAGCTGTCCTGTAAGGTGAGTGCCCAGGACTTATTGCTATCCGACATCTATTAAGTGTTTACCTTGTGCCTCTTGAAAGGTGGAAGGTTCCAGGATCCTGCCCAGAAACTTCCATCAGCTGAGCCAGAAGATTCTCTGGAACTGTTACACGGACTGCTGGGAACTTCACTGCTGCTGGCCTAGCAGGGCCAGAGTCCCTTGCCAGGAGGGGCACCCAGTGTGCCTGTGCACCAACCGCCCACTGAAGAGGTACTGGGTTGCTGGGTGTCTGTGTGTTTCCGCTTAAGGATGAGCAGGATTGGCGTTGAAAGCAGGTCTTCACAGACAGGTGCTACACAGCTGGCCTAAAAGCCTCAGTGCAGCAACCAGGCTGTCCAAACCCAAACTTAGGGTTCAATTGTTTGACAAGTTAAAATGAAGTCTGTGAATAATGAACTCAAGGACTTATGATTGTCCTACCTGCTAAGGCCAAAAGCTATAGGAACTGAATAGACTCAGAAGGCCAGCGACTCCATTACAAGCTGTGTGGCCTCAGACAAGTTCCTTAGCTTCTCTGAGCCTCAGAATGTCCAGCGACAAGTGCATTAAATAAGTATAATAATGATGTTTCTGTAACAGGACTGTTGAGGAACCAAATGAGATCATGCCTGTGAACATGACTGCGACTATTTTTGCTGTTATTTCTAACTACCTAACTGCATTATCTTGAACAAATAGTTTTAACTCCCCGGATCTATGAAATGAAGGGATTAGATTTCTAAGAGTCCTTAGTAGCTCTAACATTCTCTGTCATGATCCAAGAGAATGATCAACTTCCTATAGTTTAATTAAGTGACAATCTTGAGTGCTACTTAGTCCCCCTTTCCAACTGTGGCCCCAGTCTCCACCCACCCTCCCTTTCTCTTAAGAAGATTTGCAATTTTCCTGGAGAGCGAGCATAACTGTATTCATTGCAGCAAGAGCTGTGACATCAGGTGTTAAGGAGCAAACGCGGGCTGTTGGTGTTTTACTCTTTTACAGGATGTAAGAAGGCTCGACAGCCCTGGCTTCTCAGTGCTTCCAGTTCCTACTCATCTGCCCTAACTGGGAATAATGAGGTGGAAATGGGCAGACCTACATTTGAGTATCCAGTCTGTCATTGACTGCTGGGAGACACTGGAATCTTATCTAACTTCTATAAGCCTCTTTCCTAAAGGAGCTGTGGAGTTATTACTTCATGGGGACATTCTGAGGATTAAATGAAATAATGTCTATAATGTGCCTTGAGCAAGTAGCAATAGTTGTGTGTGTTGTAATTGCACATCATCCAGTATTATTTCCCCCTAAGTGTTACATTTTCATGATCACTACTGTTAAGGGTCATAATGATGATTGAAGTTAGCAGTTTCAATCTCCTTCATCCAAACAAAGGAGCCAGAGGCAGCATCCCATTTAGGCATCAGCTTTCTGCAGCCCTGAATTTAGATAGTAGATAGAAATAAGATCCCAAACGTTATCATCCCACTTAAGCCATTGTTCATTAATAGCTATTTGAATCTTCTGTGGCAGCAGAAAGCTAAGGCCGGACATTTTTTGGTTTTTGTCCCCAAAGAGAGGCCCTGACTCTGCAAATTGCTCCAGGTTCTCCCCATGGGATGGGCCAGCCATGGCACCAGACCCCTGTGTCTGGGTACTGGGGCAGTGATGATCTGCTATTCATGAGCCAATCTCAACAGGAATCTGAGTCAGAATGGGCACAAAGAACTGTTAGGAGAGTGCCACCTACCATGAAACTAGAAAACCTCCCCAGGTCTCAGAGGTGTGTTCCACATGCTTCTTTGGCAGCCTGCACTCAGCAAGTGAATAACTGACTTCACTCTAATCTCATGTACGCTCAGGTGCAGTGAATGTGGGGAGGAAACAAGATACCTTTCCTTCTCTCCAAGTGCTCCCATCATGGCTTCTCTGAAAACTCCAGGTTCAATAAACTCAATTGACAAAGGAAATAAGAAAGGAAGTTTTCCACCTAAATAAAATGAGAGGCCAAGATGATTTGAATCTCCTCAGTTCTTTACTCTCTAGCTACCATGCATTGGGAGCCTTGTGAGAGGATATTTTGAATATATTATCTTATTTGCATCCTCTCGACAACCCCACAAGGGGACTGCTACTGTCAGCCCCATTTTATAGATGAGGAAATTGAGGTGAGAGAGGTTAAATAACTTGGCGTAGGTCTCACAGATGCTAAGTGGTGGAAGGTTTGTACCCAGCATCTAGTCCATAATCACCATTGGAATTCCTCTGGGAGTGGATGAGAGAACCAGAACAGGGTACCAGCAATTTCCTAAACATTACCTCAGTCTTCCCAGTCTTTTAAAGAAAGCCTGTGGAACATCTACTGTGAGCCAGTTGCTTTCACATTTATTTTACTTCTTTTTTCCACATACCACCATCTAGGTGGTTGCTATGTTCTCTGTTTGATAGAAGAAACAGGCTCAGAGAAGTAAGGTGGCTCCCTAGTTCATACCGCCTATCGATGGCGAAGCTGAGCTTGGCACCTCGCTCTTGGGGCTCTGCGGCAGGTTTTCTTTCTCCTGATTCTGCAGTGGCTGGAGTAGGCAATTTCCTGGTTATTTTCTCTCTCTTCCAGGGAGAATTCACCATGTGCTCTGACACAGGCTCCAGGTACACGGGCATGCTGCTGTTGACCTTGGCCACTGCTGCCATCATCTCCAACCTTTTGCTGTACTTTCCCAATGGACAGGTGCTGGAGCCTGCCAAGATTACAGACTTGGTCTGGTTTTTCCACGGCTTTCTTGGAGCTGGACTCTTGGTAAGAATGAGGTTTAGCTAGCTTACCTCCTCCAGGTGAAGGGTGCCCCTAAATACCCTGGAAGTCACGGAGCAATCATCTCATCTTGGGGCCACTTTCCTTGGGTCCCCAGAGCATGGTCAGCTGCTCTGTATCCCACAACACATGATACATAAACACTCTCCACATTGTGCTCGGCACATCTTGCTGCAAGTATCTTTTCATGTCCCCACCTCCCACATTAGGCTGAGAGCTCCTCAGAAACAGAGCCGAAGTCTCATTCACCTTTGCCCTCTGAGTGCCTACTTAACAAGGTGCTGACTGAGACTAGAACTTAATATGTGGCTGTTAATTGTATAAAAAATATACTTTATAAAGAGCACAATAACCGAGTATTTGTCATATTCATCACATTTTAAGGTGACTGACTTAAAAAATAAATTGTGTCACTCCCATCAAGCCTTCTCTAGGCAAAATCATGGGGTTGGCATTTATGGTCATGCCACCCTGAACGGCGCAATCTCGTCTGATCTCAGAAGCCAAGCAGAGTCAGGCTTGGTTAGTACTTGGATGGGAAACCACCTAAGAATACAGGCTGCTGTAGGTGTAAAAAAAAAATCACGGGGTTGGCAAATTTTTTCTGTAACAGGCTAGATGGTAAACATTTCCAGCTTTGCAGGACAAGTGGTCACTTGTTTCAACTACTCAACTGTGTTGTCATAGGGCAAAAGGAGCCATAGATGATATGTAAACAAATGGGCATAGCTATGTTCCAGTAAAACTTTATTTATAAAACAGGCAACTTGCTGGGTTTCGTTTGTTGTAGTTTGTTGGCCCCTATCCTGAGGTAGACATTGTTTCCCTTCCTTTCCACCTTTGTTTCCATTTGGTTCCTCCTCTCCCAGGTATCCAATGGTCCTTAATGGAAAGATCATTCGATTATGTGAGACCCCAATGCCAGGCACTGAGTAGGCATTCAATGGATGGATGAATGCATGGGGCATAAAGAACCTCAGAAAAAAGTGACCACCTCCCTTCCTGCTTCTTCTTTCTACATAGTAGTAGACACAGTGTTGTCTCAAGTTGCATGCACTGAAGAACCGCCCCTTCCATCCATGTCAGAAGCTGGGCCATCCTGCACAAGAGAATATCTCAATCAGCAATACCTGGGCCAAGATTGTCTGGGTCTCAGCTCAGAGCCCTTCCTAAGGGGCAGCACAGACCTATGAGTCTGACAGACCCTGCTAAAATCATGAGTCTGCCCCGACCTGTCGTGCGACTACCCTGAGCTTTAGTAAAAGGAGAATCACACTATCTCACGAGCAGGTGGAGGCATTAAATGAGATATGTATACAGAGCACCCGGCACAAACCTGGCTGCCAGTAAAATGCAATCTGTCCTCTTTCTGGGCTCAGATTACCAGCTCCTCCACCTCCTCTGCAAATCCAGCCTAGCACCTGTCTCCTGCCTCTTACCTTTGCTGCTTATTTCTGATGGACAGGTGTGCATGTCTCAGTTCCACCGCCAAGCATATTCCTAAACTCACTCTCCTCATCTGTAGAATATATGGAACATCAGCACCCAATTTCTCTCAAGATACAAATGAGCAAATACAGTGACTATGGAGAAGAGTCAAGCAGGTTGAGATGAGGGTTTCCTACTAACAGAATCTCAGAATGTTTATTGAAAGAGAATGACCCAGAGGGAAGACATTTTCTGGTCTGGAGAGTGGAGCCTGGCTCGGTCGGGGACCTAACACTCTGTCTTCATAGCAACCCTTATCACCAGCCAGCTTGTCCAACTATAGCTCCCAAGATCTCCTAGAAAGATGGTTACATTTGTATGTTCACTTTGAAATGAGGATAATGTAAACAGGTCCAAACCAGTCCATAATGCTGCATAAAGTAAAAAACAATGAGCCAGTCCCTCTTTCTCTTTTTTCTTTCCTTTTCTTTTCCTTTTTTCTTCCCTCTTTTTCTTCTTTCTTTGTTCAGTCAGTCTTTAGTGTTCACTGTATGACTTCACTTGTGCCCAGCTCTATGGCAAACTAAGGCAGTGGCCATGGGGTTGGAAAGAAGGGGGTGTATTTGAGCTGTGAGATCTTAGTCACAGCGCTGCATCTCCCTGAGTCTTAGTTGCTCTCTCTGTAAAATTGGGATATGCATAATAGCCATCTCCTGCGGTTATAGAAAGCATTGCAGGAAATCACATAGAGAGCACCCGATCCCAAGTCTGGCCCATGGCTACTGCTCATTCAGTGTCAGCCATAAGGAAATCAGAGCAAAGTGAGGCTGAACTATTCTTGTACTTAGTGCTATGGAGTTGTGATGGTCAGATATACCCACTTCCATGAAAGAGAGAGAGCTGATAATCAGGCAAACTCAGCACTCTCTCCCCTAGCACTGTAAGCACACACTGTCAAATCCTAAAACTGTGGTTCTCCTTTTACTAGATATCATGTAACTACCCCAGCCTTCATCAAGCCTTCACAAAATTTGCAAACCAGCTGAGAGCTGGTTCAAGTTTGTTTGGTGCAGTGCCTATATGTTTTGCTTTACAGTGACTTGAATACCCTTGGGCGGGTATACATCCTTTAGTTCTCCACAATCCCCTCCTATCCCCATTGGTTATACTAGGATATTTTTTCTTACTTAAAATTACCTGCCCAGCTTCTAAAGGCACATGAGTTTGCACCCTCATCCCTCGCCCCCACACATACACGCCCCTCAGACTATCAGGTGAAAGAATGCATCTGAATAGGTAGCAGTCATCTTTAGCATCAACCACTTACCAACCATACTTCTCTCAGGACATATCTTAGTCTAACCTTGGTGAGGACTGAGGATCTCTCAGATGCTTGCATCAGCAAACATATATCAACCCTTTCTCAGGATGAGGTGATCTTTTCATAAAGTTAAGTTCCTCCATTATGTATTTATTTCTTGTTCCTGGCCCATGATCTTACAATGCCAGTACGCTTTCTCCTACCCCATACTACCAGAAGAAACGTAGGGAAATGTCATCATAAATTTTACCACTATGTCATTGGGTCTGATTCTGTATTGGGCCCTGGGGTAAGAGCTGCTGACTCCCATAGCTCACAGCCCAGGGGAGTAAGAGATGCAGTGTGCTCAGGAACCATTCATTTTGCCTGGTGGGGGTCACTGAAAACTACAAAGAGGAGATGTAGTTTCCCATGCTGTTATAGTAAATTACCACAAACTTGGTGGCTTAAACATCAAAAATGTATTCTCTCGCAGTTCTGAAGGCCAGAGCTCTGAGTAAATGAGTTGGAGGAGCCCCATGTTCTAGGCCCTAAGGGGGATCCATTCCTCACCTTTTTCAGCTTCTGGAGGCTGTTGGCATTCCATGACTTGTGGCTGCATCACTCCGATCTGCCTCTGTCTTCACAGTCTCTGCCTCTGCCTTTTCCTCTGTGTGTCTGTCTCTGAAAACTCCTTCTGTATGATTGTATTCAGGGCCTACCCAGGATAAACTCCTTTTATTAAGATCCTAACTTAATCCCATCTTTAATCATATAAGGTAACATTCACAGATCTTGAGACTAGGAAGTGAGTATGTCTTTGGGGTTGGAAAGGGGAGTGTGGCGTTTGTTCAGGAGAAAACATCTAAACTGACCATTTGAGAGTGAAGACGAGATTATCTGATGGCAAAGGGTGAAAGGCATATTCCAAGGCCCAGAGGCAGGAAAGTCCTGGGTCTACCCTGGCAGCTAGCCCATAAACTGGTGTGTCAGCAGGTCTGCATGATGGAGGAGAGGCGAGGCTCTGGAGGCAGGCAAGACCAGGCCATGAGGAGCTCAAGTACAAAGTCCAGAGCCTGTGTTGTATCCTACAGGCAATGAAAAATCATTAGGCATTTTTAAATAGCTAGAGACACAATCAAAACCTATTCCAAAAAGGTAACATTTCCTTCATTACAAGAGCATTTTTTTTTTCTTGAAACAGGTTATGGTGCCAGCACTAATGCTGTTGAGAGGAGGTAGAGAGGGTTGCTATGCTCACAAATGTGGGGTAAGTACTGTGGGCTCTACAGAATGTTTAAACTCCCACCCACACCTACCCACAAAGGGCTTATTTCCTAGGCCATGCGCTTTGGTTCTTTTGAAGGATACACTCTTGACCAATGCTCCTTTTGAAGCATAGAGATATTATGCAAGGCTCTAGCCAACTGAAATGGGGGCTGCTGCATGAGATCCCAGGAAAAACAAAACTGGAGAGGATGTGAGGAGAGCTATTTGCAGTGTAAACAAAGTCTACAAGCTCTGGCAGACCAGCCTGTTGGGGTTCAGTGGTTTGTGTTTCTATCTGCCTGTCTGTCTATGGGAAGGTCTAGGACCCTCCCATCCTTTGTCTTTCCTATTTCCCTGGTAGCCAATGGGGCAAACGCATCATAGAACCGGGATTCTAGCAAGAAGGGACATTAAACATTGTACTCTCAAAAACACTTTCACAGGCATTCTCTTACAATGCTGTGTGAAGAACAAAAGGCTGACATGCTGTAAGTTCATTCATTAAGTATTTATATCTTGTCCCTGATTACAGCAAGTTGTCCACTGCTCTTACATTTCTAGTTGATACGCCATCTCATTTCCTTTTTCTGCTCCAAAAGTTCCCTGTCCCGACCCTTGTAGCTTCCAGTCAGATTCTCCACTGAGATCTTAGCCCCACATCATCTGAAGGCCATCTCCAAAGAGCTCCCTGAATCATTCCATTCACCTCCAGCCACCCCTTTCCCTCACTCCAGACGTGGCTGTGTCAGGAATAAAAGCTTAGGCTTTGAAGCAAACAAATCCCGTAGCTTTACCCCAATTCATTAATGTGCTGATATGCCAGAAAGTCACCTTTCCTTGACACTTTGGTTGCTGTCACACACTCACCCACCCAATCAACACATATTTATGGAGTTTGTACATAGTACAAAGCCTATGTTGGTCACTGACTCAGGCTTTAAAAAAAATGATTATTCATTTACTCACCCAACCATACAACACACATTTATGGAAGACCCACTGCCAGAAAAGCAGATAGGTTTCATTTAAAGTGCCAGCATCAATTGATCAGTCACTCTGTTTTGAGGAGCACTGTGAGGCCTTATCCAGGGTTGGAGGGGAAGAGCACTGAGATCAATTCCTGATGTCTACCACGAGTGTAGACGAGGGACCGGCAGCACACTTACTTTATGTGCCAGGCAGTGTGTGGGCACTGGGGGTTCATGGTGAATAAGTCACATTTCCCACTCACAGTTTTGTAGTGGATGATTTCATTCTTTAGAATTACAGCTGAGGTAGATGAATGGATAGAGGGTTTCTCAGCCCTAGCATCCATTTTTTGTACATTCTGTCAGCAAAACAAGGACACCAACCTGGTCTGGCATCTACAAAAAAAAGAAGATTCCAACCCTCTCGAGGAGAACTCAAGGGTCGCATCATTAAAAAGCTGACTTTCCACCACCTTCCTCGCCATTGCTGTACTGAATTTCTGACTCTGTTCCATTGCAGCTGCTGTTCCCTGTGCTTCTGGCCATCCAGGGCACTGTGGGGGCTGTGTACTGTGTGGTCATTTCTTCACTGGGTTTGCTCAGTGGCCCCTTCTGTGACACAGGCAGTGGAAACTACACCTACCCTTTCAGGAACGACAGCCTAGAGTGAGTAACATTCATAGTCTTGGTCAGTGTCTAATAGCTAATGATGATACAGCTAATGACCACGAAGAGTGTGTGCTCTCAGTATTGACCATCCCAATAATGGGGCCAGGTACTTTCATCTATATCTAGTCTTGTTCCTCTTTCCATACCTGCTCCCAAATTAACAATCTCTAGGAGGTGATTGGCCAAGGCAAAAAGTGCTTATGAATTTAACAGTCCACTCAAGGTATTCAATATAATACCTTGACTTCATTAGCCCAGTTATTAAACTCAAGTGAGTATGTGCTGAGTTGCTTAGTACTGACTAGGTGCTATGTGATAAGAGAGGGATGTACACAGGAAGAATAAGACAACTTGCCTATTTGCAAGTTGCTCACAGTCAAACTGGGAAGACTTAATTACCAAATTTGGGGTTGCACAAATATCCTGAAAAACCTGGGCCTTATGATACATGTTTATTTTCCTAAAGGAACACAGACAGAAACCCAACATCAATTGATTGAAGAAGACCCTGCTTCTCTTCTTATTTCATGTTCTCTCCCTGGAAGATCTCATCCATCCCCATGGCTTTTAGTACCACCCGTCTGTCTATGAAAATGATGCCAAAATGTTTGTCTCTAGTTTTCTTCTGAAAGTTGGCCCCAATATCTAATTACTTCCTTGAAATTTCCTCTTGAACATCTCACAGCATTTCAATATTAATATGTCCAAAACGCTGATGTCCTCACACAAATCTCCTGTCAGTCATCCCCATCCCATCAGATGGCACCTAAAACCTGTGAGTCATCTTGGTTCTTCTCTCTTCTCACTTCCCATGTTCAATCAACCACTAAATCTTGTCAATTCTACCTTGACAATATATCCTGAATATACACTGCTCTTCACCTAGTCTGTCTTCACCCCATTCTAAATCTCCAAAACCCTCTGCCTCCACTGCTACAACAGCCCTCCAACAAGTATCTATTGGAGGAAGTCATCAAGAAGCTGTGACTGCCAGTCGATCTGCTAGCCAGACCCAGGCAATTGGAGGCTCCCCACCCTCTCCCCTGTCCTTGGAACATGTGTCCACTTGTCTTCCCCACTCCCAGAAGCTGCTCCAAGGATAAGCTTTGAAATAGAAATGTGGTACTAAGACTATCTGAACAGCGTACGTGACTGAATCCAGTTAGGGACTCTCTATAAAAACTTTTTAAGATTCTGGCAGGCAGGTGCAGAAAACTACTCATCTTGCGGCCTCAATACAAGCCTCTTAAATAAGTTCTCTTGCTTATTAAACCTGCCACCTACCAATCTGGAGTGGTCTGCCTTTTCCTTTGGTCTCTCCCTGACCTCTGTGCATGGGGCCAGTTTGGATTACATCTGGTAAGCTCCTGGCCGGATTTAGGAAGCAACAGTATTCCAGTTCCATTTTGCCTTTCAATCCTTTTGCCATAGATTAGCCAAAGGGTTTTTTGTAAAATGTAAAGATGCTGATAAGACCAAGAAATCTTTACATTTAAGGAACTTGCAATTTCATTAGGAACTCAGTAGATATGAATCTGAATATGGATGAAAGTAGAAATAGAGACAGAGATAGCAAATAATATACAGCTCTATGAAATATGTCCCGAAACCTATTTCATTTTCTTTTTGTCCAACTAGTATACTTTTTAATTCCAAAATTCCCTTACAGTTTTTGCTTATGTGCTATTTCTTTTTACAGTTCACTGCTCTCCTCTCTGCTACTGCCTCCTTTAAGGCAAGGTGACTCCAGCTTTCCCCGTAAGCCTTCTCCAGCTACTCTGGACCTCTAGACTTCCCCTTTCCATGATAATAATTATGATATAACTAAAACATATTACCAACTGCATGAAGGGCATCATGCTAATATCTTATCTAATCCTCCCAACCACTATACAGTATTGATGCTATTTTTAATCCCATTTTACACACATGAAATCCGATGTACAGAAGCATTTAAGAAACTGTATGTAGAACTTCTTGGTGAGGGAGCTGGAGTTAGGACCGGGGTCTGTGGGACTTTGAAACCCGAGTTCTTAACCAGTCCTACTGCCTCTGAGATCCTTATAGCAGTTAAAATCTGTAGCCCAGGGTTTCCTGATTCTTTATATGCCCTCTTGTGTGACTATGTCTGCATCCACAACGCCTTGCTGAGATGTGCTGTCAGAGAGAGAGTGCATTCAACTCTCTTGCCGATGGACAAAAAACTGCTGTCTTTATGAAGATGACAGCAATGAAGATCCTAAGGCTTCGTAACTTCCTGTATTAGACTGGTGCTCCTCACATGGTAGTAAGTAGCACCGCCCTCCTTTTATTGTTTCTCAAAGCCAGCCTCATTTTCTCCTCTGTCCTGGCAGGGGCAATTACTTATTCAACCAGCCCACCTGGGCCATCTGCCAAGAGCCTGAGCATATTGTCCTCTGGAATGTGGTCTTGTTTTCCACCCTCCTGGGGATCGGCGTGATGGAAGCTGTACTCTGCCTTAGCCAAGTCGTCAGTGGACTCTGTGACGTTTATTGTGATACCTGCATCCGAAAAGGACAGGTTGGTGCTTCTAGAACCCAGAAATTTTAAAGTCACTTACCTCTGACCTATTCACACTGTGTCTTTGCTGCTCTAACCTCATACTCCCAGACATAAGCCAGTAACTAGAAAATGCCTCTTGAAACATACAACTTAATTGACACTTTTGGGCTTAATTTTCTTTCAGGTGAACATAACTGGTTTATGACTAGCCTAAGAAATCACAACTGATTGACAGACAAAAGAGAGTTCTCCAGGTTCAGAAGGACTGGATTTGGTGGATGTCAATCTCCAGAGTTCTGAGAAGCTGAGAAAAAAACAAAAAAAAAAACAAAAAACAACTTTCTTACCAGTGTAGACTTTTATAAAACGACAACAGTTCTGCAAATTTCATCTTCTTTGCTAGATTCAAGAGTGTTGTTTCCCCCAGATGACCTCTAAGATTTATATAAGAAGTCATAGGGATATATGATCATAGAAAGAAAAAAGTAATATAATAATAAATGCTTAAGTATATTCAGTTCTATATTCCAGGCCCTGTCTAAGCACTTTTTCTGTTATTTCAATTAATCCTACAAAGCAAGTAGCATCACAATGCTACCTTGCAGACGAGGAAACTCAGGCTCAGAGAAGTTTGATTTCCTTGTCTGAAGTCAATGAATCTAAGTTTTGAATTTGAGCCTGATTCTAACATTTATATTCTGGACTACTCTCCAGTAGATCTCAGAGTGTATTGCTTATACACTAGTTACATGGATTGTAATAGGTTATATTCATTTACAAAAAAGGGTTGGAGGGGACTCTATGGTCAAATTAACTTGAGATACACTGGATTAAACAAAGTTTAATAGGTTTCTCTACTGCAGGGCTTGTCAGAATCTTTACAAAGCCAATGTGCATTGCTAATCTGGAAGAGAATAGCAGATGCACAATTCTCTGGTCTTATTTGACCACAAAACCCTTTTCTTTTGGAACAGTTTTTATGGGGTTAACATTCCATAACTACTCATGTCTTTTTTTTTTTTAAGTCAGCCGTAATAGCAGGAATCAGACTTTTTTTTTTTTTCAGGTTTATTTACTGTCCTTGGAACAAACATTTTTGAAAACTCAATCTGCCATATAAGCTATGGCAGTTTGCAGAGAGGTCTCAGACAGGGTCTCTGGTTCAGGAAGCTTGCAAATTAATGGATCCTGCATAGCTGACTGCTTTTATAAATGATATTCAGGGCCCCTGCTGGCCCATATGGCACCTTCGTACAAAATAGAATAAAAGCAGAGGATACAACTTGGCAAGATGATATTATAGATGATATTCAGGGCCCCTGCTGGCCCATATAGCACCTTCGTACAAAATAGAATAAAAGCAGAGGATACAACTTGGCAAGATGATATTATAGATGATATTCAGGGCCCCTGCTGGCCCATATGGCACCTTCGTACAAAATAGAAAAAAAGCAGAGGATACAACTTGGCAAGCAGATGGAGCCAATGGCAAAATTTAAAAAGGTGCCTTCTGCAGGTTGATGCAGCCTATACTGGGTCGAATAATGTCCCTGTCCCTGAAATTTATGTTTAACAGGAACCTCAGAATGAGACCTTCTTTGGAAATAGGGTCTTTGGAGATGTAGTTAGTTAAGATGAAGTCATACTGAATTAGGTGGGCCCTAAATCTAATATGACCAGTGTCCTTATAAGGAGAAAGAAGCTCACGCAGAAAGAAGAAGGCCATGTGAAGATGGAGGCAGAGACTGACATTATGAGGCCACAAACCAAGAAATGCCAAAGACTCTGGCAACTACCAGAAGCTAGGAGAGAGCCATGGAACAGATTCTCCCTCTCAGCCTCCAGAATCCAGCCCACATCTTGATTTGAGACTTCTAGTTTCCAGAACTGGGAGAGAATAAATGTCTGTCGTTTTAAGCTGCCTAGTTGGTAGTAGTTTGTTACAGTGGCCTCAGGAAATTCATACACAGCCTCATGCCAGGGAACAGGGGAGCAGCCCCTGCACTCATCTGGGCATGCTGCCTTGTGTAGAAACAACCTACTCAACTAAAATAAATTGGGTGGCCCTGCTGGTGTCACCAATGCCTGAGTGCCCTGCTAAACCTGTTTCTTTAGTTTCCCCTTAGCTCTCCCACTGACATGAAGCCAGACACATACAACCCAGATGAGAGATGCGCTAAGTACTCTGCACTGAGCCCAGCACTGCACTGTACCCGAGATTGTTTCCTCAGCCCTGACAACGTTGTGAGGGTGTCATCCCCATGAGGAAACTGGGCTTGGGGAGAGAAAGCCTTTAGTACAGTCAGTCCACCAGATAAAATGGCTGTATATGCCCCAAATTCTGTTTCCTTGGGAGGAAAAAAAATCCAAAGCAAAAAGCTTTATTAGCTAGCTATTCTCCATTAAAACACCTCTGTGTAAAGTGATAGATTTGAAGCAAGGGAGGAGAAAGGTTTTCTGCCTCTGGCAAAAGGCCCTCTTGTGGTTGTTCTTTTGGTGAGTAAAAGGAGCTCACTCTTATAGACACCAAAGTGCAAACATTCTGTGGCCAAGGAAGTGGGCAGAGGAGCCACCACGCTGCCCTTGGGCGGGGCTCCAGCTCGTAAAGGGCTGGGTAATGAGCGCCATCAACGGCTTTTGGGGGCGGGAAGAGCACCATCACGTTTGAAACGTGGTGCCAGCCATAACGTGATACATGATTAATCCTGTAAAGTGTTTATTGACAAATAGGAAATAGCTCTCTGAAATTACGTCAAAATAGTCGATTTTCGAGGCAGGCTTAAGTCTACTCTTTGGCTACATGACAGTTGTTTCCTGAGTTTCCTACAGTGTGCAAAGCCAAAGTGCCTGGAGAAAGGAGGGATAGAAGGACCCTCAGTTCTGGGAGAAAAGGTTAAAGCAGACGGGAAAATCTCAATGCACAGCCACCCCGATGTGAGGCAGAAATGGGAGAGGAGATAATTTTCACTTCCATCTCTGCGTCTTCAAGCATATTTCATCTTTTTATATTCCTTACTCTCTCAGAGAAAACCATATGTTTTCCAGACCAGAGTTGACTGACATTTTTTTTCCAAATTCATATTGTGGATGTTAAAAATTGATTTTATTGCAGGCTATGACAGTGTTTATATAATATGATACATGCATTATTCGAAATATGAACCACAAAGCTCTTCTGGGAGAGTTTAGCAAATCTTTCCATCTCATTCTTTATACTTTGCTATAGTATATCAATTTCCACGTTTGCCAGGATAAGCCAGGATGATTTGTATAATTACAAATATATGTGAAAAAAGTGATTTTACCATTTTATGAACACCATCTAGAAGACTCATCTGTCTACCATGTCTGGTGAAACGCTCTCGTAGTCTTATACTCACCTGAGAGAAACTCGTGTCTCAAAGGCTCATTGACAGACCAACATTCAGTATTTCTCCAAGTCAAATGGGCAGAAAATAATTTCAAAAGAAGGAGATGCACTTGGGGGAGTGGAGGGAAGGAAATGAAGCTACCCTAAGTAGCAATGGAAAAATGGGTAAAAGTTGTTTTGACTAGAAACCGTAAGGCTAAAGACAAAGGGAATTGTACATAAACACTGTAATCTAAAGTTGTTTCTCAAACTGGTATGAGTTAACAATAATTGAAACTGCTATGCATGTATAATGGGGCTGAGAGGTGGATGGTGGGAGCTGGGTTTCTCCCTGTTGAAGGAAGAAGTCACAGATAAGCAAAGAGGGAATGCTAGAATGATCCATGTAGTACTGGATTTGAGTCAAGGACATCTGTATAAACTCATGTTTGTCTTAATATAGATACAAATGTATAGATTCAGAAATACTGGTTTGTATGCATGGGTTGCTATATATGCATATATTTCCCAGCCCTGTCTACTGAGAGAACTAGAAGCGATGACATCCCAGTAGCAGCGATTATACCCAGGGCTCATTTTTATTATTACTTATTTTAAAAATAATTTATTATTTTAAATTTAAAATTTCATCAAGTTTAATAAAGTATTTAAAAAGAAAAGAAAAAGAGGAAATGGCTTT